GAGCTGGAGCTGGACTTATAGTCCAAACAGCTAGGCTTGTGTCGGGCCACTCTGCAAACTAACTGCTCCAGGCAAATTACTTAACCCTTCTGGGATCCTGTTGTCTTTTAAAAGAAGATGCAGGGTGGGATTATAAGAACATTCATTTTCTACCTAATCAATGTCTTTATAATTTGAATTTCACAGAATGTATTACTTCTGTAACCAAAAAAGACAAAAATTAAAAAAAAATTTTTAATGAGGAAAAACAGTTGTTTCTAAAGGATCTCCCTGAGGCACTCACATAGCAGAAAATCAATCCCAACTACCACCGCAGGCACATTGTGGCTCCAGGCTTCAGGATTATGATAAATATCCTGCTCTGGTCCTCAAGAAACACTGAAGACTGACTTCAAGGGAATAAATCTTGGAGTAAGAGAAAAACATCTGAAAAACTCCTTCAGATAAGAGCCAAGCACCTGTCGTTTGCTGTTAGCTTCCTTACATACCAGCTGCAAATAAGATTCTTATCAGGAACTTAAAAGATTCCACATTTTGGATGCAAATGCCAAGCCTGAGCCAATGCTGAAAGCTATTCTTTCCTAATACCAAATAAGCATACGTGTCAGGAAAGAGAGGCCTCTGGCTGGCCTGAGCAGCGGCAGAGCCAAGACGTGAACTCACCTGCTGGAAGGTGTGGCAGCACAGTGGGCCCCGTCAGAAGGGGTGTAGGTTGCCAATCTCTCCTGATCAGCCTGGGCACCGTGGGCAGGCTGGTTGGGAGCAAGGGGTACCCCACCTTCCTTCCCAGGAACCATTAGCTTTGGGGAAAAATGAAAAAATACAGTGAATCGTGGCAGTGTCAGGCAGGAGGGGACACTCACGGCCTAGCATGATGTATCTGCTTTCAAGCTTTTCCATCACCAATGCTGCCACCCAGTGGGCAGAGGCCTTGGCTCTTTATCTTCTCTGGGACTCAGTTAATGGGAGACATGCATGGCAATGACTACAGAGGGAAAAGGAAAGAGAGAAAACACTTGGGAAGCTCTTCTTTCCTTTCTGGAGTCTAACAGGTCCCTTTCTCTCAGAGTCATGTTAGTCCTCCAAAGTCACAGAAGAGCTTTGCTTTGGAATAAAACTGATTTATCAAGAGGCCCCTCAACTGCCTCAGGGCAGGAGAGGCAGCACAGGAGCCCACAGGGTCCTCCCCATCTTTAAAGATACCTGGTGAGGGTGTGTGGTGTTTAAGCCAGCAGCAAACACTACTGGATAAGCCAGGTCAGCTGATCCAATGCCCAGGGCAGCAGGCTGATAGGAAAGGCGAGAGCTTGAGAGCTAAGCAAGAGAAAAACAAAGAGGGGCAGAGGAAAGGAGGAGGACAAAATAGGCAATCCTGAAGTATGACTAATGATCCAGATCAGTAGAGAGATGAGGAATGAATCCCAGCCCACATCTTCATGGTACAGGGGCCTGATGTAAAAGTTCAAGACAGATCAGGCCATTACTTTGTAGATGAAACAGCAGAGACTTGTTGCAGTGGGGTTGAGGTTCCTGGCTCTGCAGCCTTCCAAAGACCTCAAATGAACCCCTTGCTCCCCTTTACAAAGGGGCTCAGCTAACCGTTTCGGTTTCCAGCCCAGAAGAATGTGGAACACAAGCCTGGGCAGAACTTGGAGGCAAAGTTATCAGTTTTTCCCAGGTCATTCTATTTTCTCCTTTGTCCTTGAGGACCCTTTAAAACAGAAGGTGTCTTCTCTAATCACACCCTCCATCACCACTGGGTATGGGAAGGTTCCTATTTATGTTGAAAAAAAATAGAATACTACTCTTGGGTTATTTATTTGGAAATAAGATATAAATAATTCCCTATATTTTTCACATCAATGGTAGGAGGAGGAGGGACAAGTGAAAAATCCTATTTTAGGCTGCTCTGCTAGGGATGCGTCCTATTAAAAATCAATTACCAAGCCTCAAAATAACCAACAGAACACTTTGGGGACATTTAAATGGCTATAGTCTATACTTTATTTACAATTTTTAAATAAAAAGATACCATCTGATATATCCCCTTATTCCCAGTATGGACTCACTTGATGGGAAAAGGCCAGTCCAGCCATAGGGACCCTCAGGGTATCCGTCACCACAGGAGTAGGGGTCTGAAAATGTGCCTTTGTGACAGTAAACACACACTGTGTACAGATACAAACAGAGACAGAAGAACAAGAAAAAAGAAAAAGGACTTGAGAAAGAAGTGAAGAAACTCCGAAGGGGCAGTAGCAACAGAAGCTGAAATACACAATGGAAGTCAGGCGTGAAGCAGGGAGAAAGCTGCATGACCGCCTTCCCAAAAGGACAACTTGGAAGGGTCTGAAAAGATGTTTATCCCAGGGTGTTCCATTGCATGCGTGCCTCCCTGAAGAACAGGTGGAAAACAAAGCTGAGTCAAGCTGGAATGACTTGGCAAACCAGGGAAACTTGAACCAAGCATTGGTCTGTGTTTAGTCAAGAGGACTAGGAGGACATTAGAGAACAATCTCCAATAAGAAGGGCCTGAGAGCAGACAAGGTGTGCTCAGGATGAATGAGGATGTTGAGATTAAACTGTTAGAGTGAAGGTCTTTTTCTGGAGACCCAGAATCTTCAGAGACCGGTTTAAACAGTTGACATTGTTGGCTGGAACTCTGTGTGTTCTTATACTCCCTGATGGTGTAGGAGAACTTGATGGAGTAAGAGCTAGGGCACTTTGAAAACTCTTATGATTTCAAAGCAAATTCTGGGCATGATGATTATTTTGGATCTTACTGTTCCATCTTTAATAAGTTTCACCAATTAGCTGATTAATGCTTAGTACTGGAGTGGGAACCTTAAGTCACAGCAGCAGGATCAGGGTCGCAACTATTTCTTGACTCAACTCTGCCCAAATGATGATGATCCTTGTTTTGTTGGCAAAATAAACGTCACATTAACATGTATTTATTGGACTCTAGCAAAAGCTCAAATAGGAGTTGTTGAATAATTACGTAATTTCCTAAGCTAAACCAAAGAAGAAACAATTTCAGTATTTACGGGAATCAGAAGACCTGATGGCAAATGATTTTCTCTCTCTGTTCAAAATGAGTATTTCTGCACCAAACTGTACCAGCTTGATTAGAGGTACTCAGGGATAGGGACAGAGCTCACCCATGGGGTGCTCAATATTGATAAGATCTTGGTGTGATCTACTTTTAAATTGTGAAAAGACACTGAATCCATGAAAAAGATAGGTTCTTATTACACAGGTCAACAAATTTTTATGAAAATATCAGAAACTACTAAACTTCCCTTTACTTCTGGAGTTGGGTCAAATGTCCACTGTATCAGAGAAAAAGATAAATTGATTTACTAAGGCCCAGCTTCGCCATCCCTCATAGCTCCTAAGTTCACAACTTTATTGTTTATGAATTTATCACTTGTAAAACACAATAAAACTGTTTAATAAACATTAAGCTTGACATATTCACATTTTGATTATCTAAAAAATAATCTACTCCCACTAATGTGTACTATTAAGGAAGTGGACTTTCCCCCTTTTTGGGGTCTGATTGCTCTAGGCCAGTAGTGTGCCAGAAGCTACACTCCCAGGGCAATGGCAACACTCACGCTTACGTATATTGATGTGGGGAGGGGAATACCAATCCCCATACCCCCAAACCAACCTATTAGGCAACTTTACAATAAGAACTTCTTTAACTCTAAATTGGGACAATAGAAATAATAGTATCTGTGGATTCTGTAATGTCTTTCACACACATTTAAGTTAGCTTTTGTGCCTAATTTCTACTTTTGAAATGGATTAGAACCATAATTGTAATCCTGTATCTCCTAACGCCCAGGATGAGATAAATTTAAATTTTTTCTTAATTTAATAAACAGAGAAAATAACTTGTAGATAGCCAATTAATTTGCTGAGCCCCCAAAGTAAGAGGGTGAAAGGGGTATTCTGGAGCTAGTTTAAAGGAAAGTAGAACTGAATTGGTCTAGTGCCTAAAGTGAAAGACAGGAGAGGGAATAACAGGGATGATGGGCAGGTAGAGCAGGAATCTGCAGGCGATGAGGCAGATGATGAATGACAGGGTGGAAAGAAAGAAATATGTCTTGAAATTCAGTCAGCTGGCAAAAATGATTCCTTAGCTAAAGCAGTCTCAGTAGAGTATATTATACAACAAGGCTACATAGGTACCTCCTCTGGGGAAGCTAACATTGTTTGGGGCCTGAAATTCAGTCTGACATTGAAGATGGACTCAACTGGAGAATGGTTCAAAATGTTCAGATAGAGAATGTAGATAGACAGAAATCTATGTACACTATTAAGAAAAACTGCATTGCTGGCTTCTTATTGGCAATTTATGCTAAATAGTTATTTGTTCCTTTTGTGCTCCTTCCATTATTAGAAACCATATTTACCACTTCAAACGAGAAGTAGCTACCCAATGAAAAAGTATAGGTTAGAGGATCTCTCTGGTATGAGAATGCATGTGGAATTCTGTGACTGATTTTCTAGGGAATTTTAAGATGTCCCCAGGAAGGTAAAGATAACATGTAATCTTATGGGTTAAGAATGGTTACAGACTAAAATACTGCAATATTACCTACTGGATAAAAGGATCTCCCTCATCTCTTAAAAGAAGCCCCTCGAAACAATCGCCCTTACCGCCACCAAAAGAAACTAAATTTTGACACCATTTCATAGGGCCCATATATGGACCAAATAACTACCACCACCCCAGAACCCATTTCCCCCTACCTGGGATGGAGGCGAGGTGGAAAAAGAGGTGGTACACACTTCTTGAGAATCTTCCACTGAAGGATATGTTACTCCAGTGTCCTCACCAGCGGTTCTATAGTGAGGGGAAAAGAAATCATGAATTTTATGGTGATGGCAATCAATTTTAGAAAGGACACAAAGGGAGGTTACATAAAGATGCAGGCTGTGACGACTGTTTCAGGCAGAGTTCATAATGGCAAGAGAGCTGTGTTGAGTCCTTCAGAATTTTAAACATTTCCAGAAAGCAGCATCAAGAGGTTGACAATGGCTTTTTTTAAACCCAAACATCTTACCTGACATATCATTTGAGAATATTTTCTTAGGCATAGCCAGTGTTGGGGCCAAAGAACTGTCAGCAACACAATGCAGGGAAACAAAAGTCTAAACTCCAAAGACAAACCTATGCAACTTCACAGGTCTTTCACATACAGGTAGTATCCTTCCTGACACACATCTATCCCAAATTCTAGAGAATACTGTTTTCTGGGACCTAGACTAAGAGATGTCTGATTCTGACGTACAATTGAATTATGCAAATAGCAGCCTGAAAACCATTTAATTTGCAAAGGGCATTCTATAAGTTACGGCCACTCTTATTTATAGTCTCTAGGTAAAATCAAATGAAAAGTTAAATCACTACTGTCAAGATCCAACAGTTCCAAGAATTTTGAGACATTCTGTATACCCCAAGTCCTGGTGTGCCTTACAGGCAGCTGCATGAAAGGAAGCTAGCCATTCTTTCTCTCTCCTTGTGGTGTCTCTATCTGTGCTTTCTGTCCATCAGTGACTGCTAATAAAGGTGCTCTATGTACCTGTGAAAGATGGATGCTTCTGCCTAGCAGTTTGGGAAGGTACCTGTCACATTCCTCACCTGTAATTGCAGGGGTGCATGGTAGAGGAGCTGGGATAGGGACGGTCCACAAAGTGATCAATGATAATCCCCATGATAGGTGGGGTCCTCTCAAATTGCCTGAAATGCAATAAGATTACGATATTTGTTAGAATGGCTTGCCAGCCCCGCTGAAGGCCTCAGAAGGCCCCCCACTCAATACCTATTAGCAGGAACCACTAGAGCCTTAACTATTGCACCTCTAAATATAAACCACCATCTCTACATTGTTGGCTCTGCAACACTCAGATTCTCTAATCTGGAATCTGAACTCTCTATTTTATACTTTAAAAGGGGACTGATTTCAGCAATGGCAAAGCTGAACTGTAGGCTTAGCCATGGAGTTTGGGTGAAAAAAAATTTAGTATCTTTGGAAGAGTTCTTTTGGATTCCAACACCCTTTCCTCACCTGGTGGACATGAATGCCAAGTTAATTCTGTAGGCACAAGAAAGAGTAATGGTGCCCACAGGGGTACCCACTGTCCCAACACGAACTGTCTGGAAACCTAGGAGAAGAGATAAACAATTAGCTTTTTTTCCAGAGAATACTGACATTGCCCCTCAGTCTGTCATTCCGTGAATCATTCAACCTATACAATCTCTGGTATTATCCACTTAGCACCTTGAGGGCAGCGGTCTCGATTTCGTGTGTATGTCTCTGTGTGTGTGTTTATTATTTTTTCTTTCAATTAATTTTATATTGACCTAATACTATCAGGAGAAACAGCATTCTATTTGCAGATAAAACTACCTTCAAAGAGGTAAAACTTATTAATACTGAAGCTTGAGTGAGTCCTAACCAACCCTGCCCAGATGTGTCACATATCCAATGAGACAGCAAAAAGGCACTAGGAGTTTGTCACTCATGTTTATATTTGTAAATATGATTCTTTATATTTAAGAAGTAACCGCAAGTCCACTCAAGGTGCCACCCCAGAACTAAGTATGGAAAAGAGCCAGGGCCTTGCAGGTGATACTTCCAACCAAGCTTTCCTGGTTTTCTTGGTTTCATTTCCAATTTTTCAAAACTGATGTTCATCGCAAACATTTAACATGCTCATTGTAGAAAATCAGGAAACCAACAATTGTATAAAGAATAAGAAAGAATACTGAGTTATTGGAAATTGGGGAAAATTATTCAGTCATTTCCCTGGCTGCTGTTTGGACCACCTACCTCTTTTCCTTACTCATATTATACATATTAAAATCACAAGGTACATATCATTACAGGCAGCACACAAGCTCTTAACACTACAAATGTGTTTTAACCTAATACATACCTTCTCCTAAGCCACTCAGCTGAACTTCCCCAAAATATATTCTGTAAGGAAGAAAGAAGAAATGTTACCTGATTCTTTATTCTAATGGCCTCTATAGCCAAAACATCTAGAAACAAAATAAACAAAACAAACCCTTCTTATCTGTATGAACATCTCTCCTAACAGTGTATATAGAGAGGTTTGGTTAAAAAAATGAGGAAAATAATAATCAAGTGGAAACTGCTATTTAAGTTTCTTCTTCCCACTTCTGCAACATGTTTTTAAAGTATATCTACTAGAAAATAAAGAATATATAAATAAAATTGGCAAACAGATCTGGAACTAATATTAGAAAGTACTAGTTTTCTTTTAATTGAAGTATAACTGACATATAACATTATATTAGTTTCAGATGTACGACGTGATTCAATATTTATATATAGTGAAATGATCACCACAATAAGTTTATAACTGTCACCATACAGTTATAGAACTTTTTTACTTGTGATGAGAACTTTTAAGATCTACTCTTTGTAATTTTCAAATATGCAACAGAAGGTACTAGATTTTGAAGAGTGGTTTTCAATTAAAAAGAGCTCTCTGTGCTTGTCAAGTCATTCCAAAGTAAATTGGTTAAAAAATTAGAAAATCTTTTCCACCATAGAATAATTAAGTAAGAGTATTCTAAAAATATAAATATAGTAGAACCTTTCCACCAATCTTGGAAGGCCAGTCTATGTTAGCTAAAAGTCTAAATTAGAAAACACTCAAAATATATTTTTTCAAGTAATATTGTTAAAAACTAAACACCAATGATGTACAAAGCCCTATGGTTAAGTGTTACAAATGAGATAAGGATAATTCAGGGATGAGATTCAGGATAAATCTGAATCCTAGGTCTCAGATTATAGCCCCATTTGGGAAAAAAACATCTGAAATACATGCTCGAAGTAATAGCACCATAAAGCAGAAATCAGCAAACTTTTGTTAAAAGGATTAAATAGTAAATATTTTAGGCTTGGGGGCCATATGGTTGGTGGCAACTATTTATCTTTGTTGTTGTCTTGCAAAAGTACCATTGATGATATGTAAACTAATAGGGTGGCTATGTTCTAAAATATAAAAACAAGCAGATGGTCTGTTAACTACTTTGCTGACTCCTGCCATAAAGTAATATAGAAATGACGTTAACGAAGTGTTGCCAAAAGAGATTTTGCTAGATGCCCTCTAATAAAAGCTGACGCTTAATAGCTCACTACAAATTTGAATACTGGTACAGTGCTTAAAACAACCTAATCATGTTAAACCTTTCCTTGGCTAGACTCTTTATGCCATTCAGATGCTAAGAAAGTTTTCTTCACAGATAGTAGAGTACAAAACATTAATTCAGTTTTGAATGACAAATCTAGGATGTTTTTATAACAATGTAATTCTACAATGACATAATCAAATCTAAAGGGTCAAGGAGAAAAATGATAATACAGCTTTTAAAAAAAGACAAAGCTATTCTTTTATGGTATAAAGCTATACTGTCAACTTGTCGACAACAGTATAAAAGGGAAAAAAAGGAGCCAAATCTACCTCTGAAACCACTTTTCCATGGTTTAAACCACAGTTATTTGCATCCAAAAGTACTTCTAAATGATAAACAGTAATAAATACTGTATTACTCCAAAGATACAGGATAAAAGAAGACTTTAAACACTAATATGAAAAGGACTAGAAGTCATAGTTAACTAAGCTGATGATTAGTAGTGTAGTATGGCTACTTATAAAAAAAGAAATGAAGGGGCCTTAGCATAGGTAAATGGGAAGTAAGAGTTAGAAAGTAATCTTTCTTTTGTATCTGAAAAGTCTAGTAGTTTTCAAATGGAATACTGAACTTGAAACCTAGGAAGACTATAGAGAAGACTAGAAAAATGTATTAAAGACTTGGAAAAATAAACATGGGTAGGGTTGCTAGATTATTGCTAAGAAAGTTAAAGAATAACTTGATAATTATCTCAGGTACTGGATTGTTTCAACAGAACTAGTTAGTCTCTAACCCTTAGTCCTTCCATCCTGCTATACTAATTCTTCTCAAAATCAGCTCTATACATGTACTCAAAAGGCTAAATCCAATGGCTCATCACTAATAGGAAAGAAAAGAGTCTTGGATGATTTGAGAACTTCTGGCTTTCCATGCTCTGCTCTCACAATTTCCTACATATCCTTTAGACCGCTACTCTGGTCCACTGGACAATCTGAGTACAGCTCACACCCCACCCCTATTTCTGTGCCTTGCCATCTGTTGTACTCCCCACCCAGAATGATCTTTCTTCCTCACTTCTACCAGCTGAAATTCTCTCTGCCTTAAGGTCTAGCTTAATGGCCATTTTCTCCATGAATCCTGTCTCGTTTCTCCCAGCCAGAACAAACTTTCTCTTCCTGTGTTCTCCCAGTATTTTTTTTCCTGATACTATTATGCAGTTTTCAAATCCTGCTTTTTACTGTAATTATACAAGTACCAAATTGTTTCCCCCATTAGATTAGAAACACCTGAAAGGCAGGGCCTCTGTATAGTTCTTCCTTGGGCCTAGGACAATGCTTACATTAGAAAGGTACTCAATAAATAGGTGTGGAGGTGAAATATTTCAAGATACTCGGTTCTTTACATCCACAAATGACTGACTAAAAACAAACTGAATTAGCAATTTGTTAGACAAAAAGTTTTAATTTAACTCGAGAATACAGAAGGCTATGGACTCTTCCCAAAACAGTCTATTTTTTAAAGTCTTAAGCTCCTTTTCCAGCTTTGAGATGTGTATCAGTAGGACCTCAAAATCCAAGAAGGACAAAATACAAAAGGACAAAGAACTTGGTAGCTTTAGAAAGCTGAGGTTCATAAGGGAGGATGGGTAGACAATCAAAGTAAAGCTATAGCATCAACTACCCAACCATTCGTCTGAAAATTAATCACAGAATACCTGAATAATACCTGAATGCCAGTTAGACAATATGTAAAGCGATGAGGCCAACCAGTGAGTCAAGAAGTAAGCAGCCACGCTGTTTACCTGTACAATATGACATATTCATGCCCTTGTTTTCTGGAGAGTCTGTAAGCTGGTGTCACTCTAGTTATAGCAAGGAGAGACTTCAGCAGCAATGACAGTCTGTTGTACACTGTGTAGGAAACTTTGATTTCTTTATCACACCTGCAGAGCACATAGAAACTATCAGCATTCTCCTATTCAACTAAAGTAAAATGAAAAAGAGAAATGCAAATGATATAAGATATTATTTTCCATCTAGTGATGAAGATTAGTTTGTTGGCATTATTCCTACATTCTGATAGAACATAAACTGCTTTGTCCAAATATACTATTCATAGAGTATTACATTCAATAGAGATGGCTGCAAATTAACACTGGAACTGTATAAGATTAAATTTATTATGAAAACACACTTTGAACTAAAAGTATAAGTATTATAGAGTTCTTTGTCAGTTTATCAACGGATTGTTGAGACAAGGCAAAGTTTCATTTTCATATGCATTAAGACACTGGGAGACAGGCCCCAAAAGGCACCCAATATATTTTTTCTAGCTCTGAAGCAGTTATCTAAGAATTAAAGCAACACACTTAAAAACAGTAATTCAATGTTGCTATTACATTACTGAAGGTGCAAACATAATTTCAATGTACTATCTCATGAGTTGTCTACCTCTATACATCTAACAGGAAATCTGGCACTAAAATTTTGGAATATAACCTGGCAATTCTGCTTTCTCATTTTTTAAATACCACATATACTTATTACTAACAATTTTCTTTTGATGTGTTGCTATTTCCTCAATTTTCCTATATGTATACTCTTCTTGAAAACTGAAACTTCAGACAGGAAGTAAGCTAATCTGTCTTGAAAGAAGAAAATGTAGGAGGGAAAAAACATGTATTTTCAATCCATGACCAACATAATATGTAAAAAGGAGTCGTGAGGGGACATCTTATTGGATGTCTGCCACACAGAAAACAGACAAAATAGAGAAGTCATGTTATAAGAGCTCCCAAAGGATTTAATCAAAGAACTATCTGTACTCTGGGAAAACAAACAACCCTTTTCAGCTTTCTCTCTGCTCTTTTCCCTGTGGTGTCTGAGTCTCTCTGGACCGACACTCCCTCTGAAGGTCATCTCTGTGCCTGGGCTGGAAGCCAAGCATGAAGCAAATTGTAGCAAAGACCTACTGATTTTAAGTGGTCAAAACACCCTCCATAACTGATAACAAAGCCCTGCTTTTCACTGCTTTATCCTCAGCCACCACAACCAAGCACCCTAAAACAGAGCACTTACTTTTCATTCATTTCAAGACACCAAATTTCTAGCTCCATGGAATCTCCCTGTATATGGAACCAATGAAAAATATTCATTTTATTTTTTTTTTAGTTACCTTCTTTTTTCTTATAACAAAGCACTATATACAATCACTATAAAATATATTAGAAAGTATGAATAAGCAAAAAAGAGATCAGTTTATAATCCAATCATCCACTTTACTAAATAAAAGTGAAATTATACTATATATACTATTTTTATCGATTTTTTATTAATAAATACAACATGGAATTGTCCTTATAATTAAAAATTCTGCATTGTTTTTAACAGTTGCATAGTATTCCACCATAAGGCAATCATTTTATCCAATCATACTTGGACATACAGGTTGCTTCTAATTTTTTACTATTACAAACAACATTGTGATAAATAGCCTTGAGACTAAAACTTTGCACATACTCTGAACTAATTTCTTAAGGCAAATTTCCAGAATTAGAATCATTAGATCAAAGGGTATTCATACTTCTAAGACTTTTGCTATGTACTCTTCAGAAAGGCCTACACTTTCAATGATGGAGAGGGCCTTTCCCTCCAACTCTATAAGGGGTATTTTTAGGTGACATCCACAATTAAAGAATACCTTAACAAGCTCCTTAAAATCTTTTTATCTCATGTCTTTAGCCAAACTATTCAAAGTCTCTCTGTGTTACTCTGAACAGACTTAGTCTAGTGGGTGGGAAAGAAAAAAATAAGACTAAAGCCAGAATCTCTCTCAACCCGGTAATAATCCTATGTGTCACTGAGTGAGAAGGATAGTCCCATACCTTTGAAAACAAGTAACCTTTTTACTAATTAGTTTGAAAGGGCTATTCTTTTAGGTTTGGGAGTAAGCTTGGGTTAGTTAGTTTGTGGAATAGAGAACTTTTACTGGTTCCAGATCAAATTTAAATATGTATCCTTAATATATATTCTTCTCATTACATTGTCATTTCTAAATGACATAATGAATTTTGAATCCCCCCCGCCCCAAAATTAAGGAATGACTGGATAGTAGGAAGAATCCAAGACAAGTCAGTGTGGTTTCTCTATGACAATCAGAAGTTTATGGTCAGATTTCACACATGCCTGAGAGAGGAGAGAGTTCTTCTAAGGATTCCTTTGGGACTCCCTATGGATCACTAAGAAAAATAAATTATAGTATAAACTGGCAATTCAATAAAGAAGAATAGGAAGTTTTTTAATTTGGTCCTAAGGTTTCCATGGAATAAGTAGTGACATCATTCATTCAACAAAATTCACTGAGAGCCTACTATGTGCCATCCCAGGCACTGTGTTAGGCACGGAGATGATTATTTATTTATATCCTGCCTCATTTAGAAAAGAATTTGAAGAACCACAAAGATAAATAAGATGTGGCATAGCTGCTGACTTCCAGAAAAAAAGTGTAAAGTATGAGTAGGAACATATGATGATCGCCTACTGTATATCATGTTATCCAATTTAGAAATAAGAATTAAATGAAAAAATATTGTAGCCCTGCAAGACTGAAGTGTCAGTTTGATGGTGTTGGTGAGAGTGGGATTGAGTAATTTGGCCAAAGTCACTCAGCTGGGACCTAAACTTGGGTCTATATAGCAGCAAACTCCATCTGCCTTTCATTATACCATGCAGTCTCACAATCCTGTAATGGAAATAGATTAATAAACATACAAGTAACAATATCTGCCTCGATCTTAACACAGAATACAGTGAGCAAAAAATATTTTTAAAAAATCATAATACAGCAAATTATTCTCTAGGAACAAATATAAACAAAGCACATGGGAAGTCTAAGGGGAATAGTTTCCTCTCCCTCTAGAAAGGGGAGATTTTCTAGAGCATATGAGTCTTGAAGGATGAGAACATCTCAATCATACATGACATATGTGAAGATGAGGGCAAAGCCTATTCCAGGTGGTTGGAAGAACAAGTACAAAAACCACGCCCCCCTCAGAGAATGATGAGAAGTTCAGAGAAGAAACAGGCAGAAATCAGGCTGAGCTGGAACCAGAGTGTGAAGAGCTTTGAGTGCCAACTTAAGATGCCATCTTGGCCAGAACCTTACCTCAGAAGTCTTGAGTGAGATCTCCACACACATGGATCTCCCGACGGCGGGAAGCTGCCCTGCCAGTGCCTTCTTTGCTTCATGTGTAACCTCTGGGATGTCTTTGATTGCTAAATTGAACTAGAAAACAAAAGAGATTTGGGGTTAAGCACGCACATGGAACATTATGGAAACATAAAGTAGTCAGACTGTATGTTGGGTACTGCAGGCATTGCTTTGACTGATTAAGAACATTCATTCACTTCTTCCTTCCCCATCTGAGATATCCTGCATCAAAGACCCAAACTGTGGTTGAAAATGCTAATGACCTATTACAAGGATTAGGTAACAAGATATTTTTGTGTTCTAAAGACTAAGCTTTTCACCTATTATAGTAGAAAGCCAAGAGCCAAATAAATCCAGGACTAACATTCGATGAAGAACAATACTTTCCAAGTGATTGAATCAAATAGAATTAGATATTTTAATGTTATGATTTAGTAATCCTATTAATAGTATTCCTTATTATTATACTGTAATTCTTTGTCACAAAGGCCATAGTATATCCCTTAGCAAAGAATAGGAATTTTACCCAATCTGAACCCGTTGGGGATGAAGATGAACGAGTACAAATCTTCTCACCAAGTCGAGCCTGGACAATCACTTGAACAGTCTAAAAAAAACCAATCAAACAACAGAAATTAATTTGGCTCCCCCCCAACAGAGTTAAAATCCTCCCAATGTAGGCTTAAAAAGATGCCAATGATCTTAACTATACTTTAGGAACTAAAAACATTCAAGAACAGATAGAAAAAAATGCTGCACAAAAAGAATACTGTAAATATTCCTGAGGATATAGTACCAACCAATTAGAGGAATTATAGTTTGAGGCTTGGAATCTGTAATATTCTAACATGGCAGAAGGAAAGTTGCACATGGTGGCTCTGACTTTCATAAAGAAACAAGTCAAACTGTAGGTTTAAATATACACTTATGTAATCATAGTAGATTTAAACTAAGGATTCCACAATTATTCATCCTTTGGCCCATATGGCAAAAGTATTCCAACTAATTTTACAACCAGAATCTACTGCATGAAATTTTCTTACATGGCAAATGTTTGAGAGGAGGGAATGATAGAGGTGGAAATGATTTTTAGATTTAGGAAAATATAACTTCCAAAGCATTCAAAATTCAGTTTGAATTCCTCATTTACCCAGAATGGAGCCATAAATGAAAGTTACACATTTCAGAGTTAGTTGATGGTTTGGGAAAGATGCCCAAAATGCTGTCCATTCCAGTCCACCACAGTCTTTGTTCCCACCCAAGGGGACATACTGTGCCAATAACCTGGCATAATAGTTTGACATTTCTGCAAACAGCCTTGCAAAATAAATTTTTTACAACAAATAGCTGTGGAAAATTGGAAGCTACTTTTTAGTTACACCCCCAGTACCACCCCCAAACTTCACAGTTTGGTTTACAACAGACAGAAGTATTCCTTAAAATGGGCAAGCTGCAAGCTGTTATGCTGTATTTCCAAAAACAGAAAAGCACGGAAGTTATTTCTAACAGTTCTAGGCTCAAGAGAATGGATATATTACCTTGAGGGCAAAAAATTTAATGAACTTGTCCAGGTCCTTTCTGTCCTGGGAATTGAGATCAGTTTCCATTGCCTATGATAATCTAAAACAAACAAACAAAAAGTTGAAAAATGTGACTAGTACCTTTTAAAAGGGATTGCTACAGCAAAGCATACAGAGATGGTCTTGTCTACTAGCTGCATAAACAGTCATGTGGAAGAGGGGAAAAAACTCCCCCCCTAACTAAAGATACCAAAGCGAAAAATATTAAGATACTATCTTTTGAGGAAAATAAACTCTACACAAGGAGCTAAATCTAGGAACCTAAAAAATGGATGAAGACAAGCCATTTTTCTGAATCTGAAACTGAGCCTTAAATATAATTTATCTATTTAAAAGTTTTATTACCCAGCATATTGAGAACTAAGTTTTAATAAGACGAAAACTTTGTTAAAACATAAAATGAATTCATCTACATTCCTTCAAAAGGGCGCTAAATCGATTTAACTTTGGGGGCTTTATGGACTCCTTTTAAGAATCTGATGGCAAGACAAGCTCTTTTTTCAAAAAACAAAACAAAACACAAATATAGAAATAGTTGGATATAATTTCAGGAGATTCACGGATTTTGTGAAGCACAGCATAACTCCCTTCTCCTCATATGGTTGAAATGGTTTGACATGGGGCTGGTCTGAGGAAGAAAGCATTCATCAAAAGAAGAGCTTGAACAGAGGTATAAGCAACAGAGAGCAAGATGGGTTTGGAATTATTAAGTATTCCAGTTTTCCAAAGGATTGTGTGTAGATAAAGAAGTAGTATGGCTGGTTGGGACCAGACCATGAGAGTCTGAATGCAATGCTAGAGCCTGATCTGCTTCTAGTATGCCAGAAATGGCAGCCCCCTCAAGGCTTTTGAGGAGAGGAAGTAACACAGAGTGCTAGGATCTGAATGGTGCTTTAGAAAGACAGCTTAGTTAGCATATTGTAGAATAGTTTTGAGTATGAAAAGCAAGGAAGCCAATTAGGTACATGGCAATAATTCAGGCTTGTGGTCAAGGCTAAAACTCTAGTACAGGCATGATTTGTAAATAGTATTAAGATATTTTAAAGGAAGAACTAACAGGATTTACAGACTGACTGCAGTTTAACAGGGTTTCAGTCAAAAAACTACAGAGAAAACTAGTTTTAAAGACAAGTGTAAACAAAAGTATTGAGACAGGAAATGAGTACAAGTATTTAAAAAAACCCAGCGTCTTTATTGAGATGTAACTCACTTGTAGTGAAATGTACAAATCTTGGGTGTACAGCTCAATAAATATCTGTATATGTATACTCCCTTATAACCACATACAGACCAAGTTATAGAACATTTTCAGTAATCCAGAAGGCTCCCTTGTGTCCCTGCAGTCAATAAGCCTACCAAAAGGGAACCATTATTCTGACCTATTATCATAGATTAGTTTTGTCTGTTTGAATTTCTTATAAATGGAATCAGAGTATTAACTCTTTTGTGTGTAGCTTCCTCTATTCAACAGTACGCATATATGTAAGATTCATTTATAATGCTTTGTTCTTCATTGCTATGTAGCACTCTATTTTATGACTTATGACTATACTATAATCTTTAAATTCCATTGTTGATAAATATTTGGGTTGTCTCCTGTTTTTTAGCTTATTCTTTTTTTTTTTTTTAGCTTATTATATTCTTGTACGAGTCTTTGATAGATATAAACATTCACTGCTACCAGACATAAAGCCAGGAGTTTTAATGTTGAGTGACAGAATATATATAAGTTTAGCTTTAACAGATACTGCAAAAGTTTTTCCAGAATCTGTACCAATATACACTCCCCCCAGCAGGGTATGAGAGTTCCAGTTGCTCCACAGCTATACTACCACTTCAAGGTTACTGCTAAGTCTTTAATTCTAGCCATCCTGATATGGGTGTGGTAGTATCTCATTTAATTTGCATTAAAAATAGTTAATGATTAAATTAGTGGTTAAATGGTGACTGCATTTCCCCTACTAGCACCTTTTCATGTATTTATTAGCTATTTGGATACCTTCTTTTGTGAAGTGCTACTTAAAACCTTTTGTTCATTTAAAAAATTAGGCTGTCTTTTTCTTACTGAATTGTAAGATTTTTCAAAATATATATAGTAAATGTAAGTACTTTGTTGGATATGTTCTGCAAATATCTTCTCTAAGTCTGTGACTTGTCTTTCTTATGGACTGTTTCCTTCCATGAGGGTCTGAATATACTAATGGCCAGACCACATATATAAAAATAAAGCTCTGACCCACAACCTGCAGAAACTAGCCCAGGAAGCCAACTTAGTATCTCCACTAAGTAGTTCAAGAAGTCAGCCTACTATCTACAATAACTAGTCAAGGAAGTCAGACTATCTGTAGCAACTAGTCCAGGAACCCAAACAATAACCCCTATAGAAATTGGCCCCAAACTGCCAGAACTTGATTAATAACTGACAGCATCCTTAATTTTTGCCCCTGCTTCCAACTTACGACCAACCATAGAAAGCCAAATATGTACCCCTAACCAAGCACACAGGATGTCCCCACTTTTAGTTAGGCTACCTACAGCTTCCCCTTGCCAATTGTTCTAAATCAGGACATACCTTCCCTTTTCTCCTACGAAGCTTCCTACTGGTCTACCTGCCTTTGAGTCTCTGCCATAAGCTCTGAATAAATGACCTTTACCCATTCTCATTTGGGTGGTCTTTATTTCCACATTAAAAACAGCCTTACTGAAGTATAACTCATAATAAACAATATATTGGAAGTATAAGATTTGATAAATTTTGATATTTATAACTAAAAATATCAGCACGAAATAGTAAACATACCCATTATTTCTCAGATTCCTCATGTTCCTTGGTAATCCCTCCCTTTTGCCCCTCCTAACCCCCCATCTCTACATAACCTCTGATGTGCTTTCTATCACTATAAATCACTATTTGCATTTTCTAGTCTTATATAAATTAAATCATATAGTATGCATGCTTTGTTTGGCTTCTTTCACTTAGTATAATTATTTTGAGATTTATTCATGTTGTATTCTGTGTCCATAGTTCGTTTCTTTTTATTGCTGAGTAGTAGCCTCTTATGGAGTCTTTTGAAGATCAGAGGTTGTTGATTTTAACATGTCCAATTTATTAATCTTTCCTTAGATGGTTAGCACTTTGTGTCGTTAATAATTTTTTTTGCTGATCTCAAAGTTATGAAAACATTCTCCATTTTCTTCTAGAAGCATTACTACCTTTCACATTTAGATTCACGAACCCTTGCAAATTAATTTCTATATGTGGTTTAAGTCTGGGATTGAGGTTCATTATTTTTAGCCAATCGGTTCAGTTTTCATAGGTGAAGTTAGAAACACCTAAAGATCTATCTGAAAATGCCAAGTCTGGAACTGAAGGAAAAAGTTAAGATTGAGGTTAAAGGAGAGAGAAGTGGATATTCTCAAAAAAGTACATATAAAGCTATAGTAGTAATGACATCACCAAGGGATAAAATAGAAAACAAAAAATAACAGAGACCTTAGGGGAATATCTGCATAAAAGAACCATAAAGAGAAATGCAAGAACTAATCAGACAAATAGGCAAAATGATTCTAAGTAGTTTTCATTGAAATCGAAGGGAAATGAAAGTTTTACGACTGAAGGGATGGTCAAACAATACAAAGTTCTTGTGGAGGAGGCAAAACTTAACCCATCTTTGGTTTTCGGGTGAGCCTCTTAACAAAAAGACAGATTAACAAGAGAAAAACGGTTTATTAACATGTGCAGCACACATCACACAGGAGAAATTTAAATAACTCAAGCCGGCTTACAATTGCAGCTTATACAGGATCATAAACAAAGAACAATAAATTTGTAGAGCAATGACAGGACAAAAGCACTTTTAGGCATGCATGGGCCACAAACTGTGGGAAGGTAAACAACGGGAGGAAACTATTAAAGGTTTGTTTGCAGCTCAGGGCTGCTATGTCTGTGTCCAGTGAAAGGAGAATTTATATCCTGCCTTTAGGCAGATGGGGGGAGGGTAGAAAGAGGTTCTTCTGCATTTGCTGCTTAATTACCTTCAGCTCAAAATAATTTTTATGTCAAAGAGGCATATTTTGGGGTAACATATTCTGGTTTCCTTCATCTTCAAAAGGTGAGAAAATGGCCACTGCATTTGAAATTGTGTTGCTAATGATCTTTGAAAAGACGGTTTCCTAAAGCAGTAGTGAGAAATGGATTCAGCTTCTGAGAAGTCAGACAGGAAAAGGGTTAGGCTATTATTCTGTTAAAAGAATTTTCCTTGTAGGATAGGGATATCTGAGCAAATTTATAAGGAGGGGGCAGAAACCAATGAAGAAGAAAGAAAACGCCTCTGAGAAGAAATAATTGTCAGAATAAGATGTCACAAGAGAGTCCACTGTGATCAGTAACAGGCTAAAGTCTAAAGTGACCCAAATTATAAAGAACTTATCTTTTGTGGCCTATCACTTGTATGTTGACAGCATTTGAAACACATAGCCACTCAGACCTTCGTAATTTTGGTTAAGAACATTAACAAATGTTAAAGTAAAAATAAAAAGACCTTTTAAAGGGTTAAACAGCTCCCAGCTCTGAAGCAACACTGAGGATCTGAGATTAGTGCCAGAGGACTGTGCAGCCCTTAGTTCACACTGAAGTGGGGAATTGTGTGCCCACCACCAGAGAATCTACCAATGCAAATGTTATAATGGCACAATGACTCCTGTGAATTTGTACCACTGGAAGCACTAAAATTATGTAACTAGAATTAGTTATAGTAACTAGAATTGAGCCAAAAGGGGTGAGGTCTCCACTGGGGAACAAGTTATCTCTCAGGCATCAGAGCTTGTTGTTCCCTGAGGGTTTAATCTATCATTCTTTACAACATAAGTATAATATAATTAAGAAACATGACATAAATGGAGATGGAGCTGCCATTCCAGAGCAACTGAATTGCTCATCTTGTTCCTTTAAACTTCGGACTAGGCCAAACCTTTGGACTGGGCTAAACAATTGTTTTATAAACAATTGTTTCAAAGTAAGCAAAAATGCTGACATCTTGA